TTTCCGACTTCTCCCTGATCCACCAAAGGGCTGAGAATGTGTAAATGACTGAACATCTATGTTAAGGAGAACGTTTCTTTGTATTGAAGCTTAATATTTTTCTTCTGATTGAAGGGAATTCTCAGTGTCTACAATTGTTCAGAATCAATGCTCTTCCCCTAGCCTCAGTCTCCCAGGTTTGCCTGGAACTTGCTAGTCACTGAGAGAGACTTCTAACTCCTGCCTCAGCCTCCATATTATTGGAATTCTAAGTGTGTGCTACCAGACAGACCTTCAGTACTTGCTCTTGAAGTTCAGAGGTTTTACAAATCCACAATTTCCTTATGCCAGCTCTTGCATGCTCACACTCCGCAAGCCTTACTGTCTGTCGGGGTACATGCTTTAGGATGCTGCTAAGAAAGAGGGCTTTCACAGTCTTCCCTGGCTTTGAACAGGTATTTGTCTTCAGAGTTTAGCACCAGTGGCTCAGGTCACCTTCGAGGGTCAAAGTTCACAATGGACAGCAGCACCTAGGATTTGAACCACAAGTATTTTTCAAACCAGTACTGTAAGGGTTACACTGTTCAATCCATCATTTTCTATAACACTTTTAGCTACCTAATGACAGACACAGAGCCATTAATCCCATTTTTGTTTAATAAAAATGTGCCTTTGAATCAGATACTTCGCACATGATTAACCGTGCCCGCTAGGCCTTTCCCTCTGAAGGCCATGATCGTTTCATGTTTCTATAGCATCCTTTCTGAAATCCCTCTTAAAGATCTAATGTGAAGGAACTCAGTTGTGGCAGCATCTCTTCTCAGTGGAACTGTCCTGTAGACTTGCCGACATGTTAATCCCCAGATAACTGGGCTTTTACAGGGCTCCACTTCTGCCCACAAAATAGCTCGAAAGCAGACTTTCCCAGGACCCAGCTGTACCTCTGAACTTTCATACTCTAACAACATTAGGCACCAAAGTCCCTATCAGGCAATGGGACTATGGGCTCAGGGATCGTTTTTGTCATCCTTTTCCCAGGGATCATCTCTGTCATCCTTTTGGTGACTGATGATGACCCAAGAAATTGCTGAAGGGTTAAATAAATAAATAAATAAATCCCCCAAAATTTAGGATTCTGGTGTGGATCTAGCCTGCTGAGTTCTCCTTCTTAGGACTCCGGTGTGAATCAAGCCCACTGAGTTCTCCTTCCTCCCTCACAAGCTTCACTACGCCGAAGAATGTGTCCTGGCCACAGGATCGAAAGCTAAGATCATCAACCGTGAGCTAATATTATTCTTCTTTGATTTAAGGGGCCTGAAACGGAGCTTGCCAATCTCTCCACCCCTGCCAGCTTATAGTCTCATCACCCAGCACAGAGGGAGCACAACCAGCCGCCCAAGGGCCAATTTGTTTCTCAGCAGAGTCACCACACACACAAGAGGGAGGCAATTAGGCGTCCCCCGGGCATCCCTAGATGGACTTCTAAAGACTTTACTTTGGCAGCGGAGACCAGAAAGCGTTCAGACGAAATCATCCAAGCCTCTTGTAATGTGGCTTGTTGAGTTATGGCCAAGTTAATATTTAAGGGACTACAGAATGCAGCATTCTGTAAATTACCTCTGGAGTTAAGAGTGACGCATGGAAAAGAAATAGTGACCCCCCTACAAGAGACCAGCTTGTTTGCTCCCATCCCAGAGAAACACCCACCGGAGGAGTGGCCTGTGCTGAAGGAAGCGGGGGGGGGGGGGGGGGGTGGGGGGGAAAGGGCTACTTATCTGAAAAGATGTTTTGTTTTGTTTTGTTTTTAAAGGACATTTTTCTCTCCCTCTTTTTATATTATATCTTAAAAGAAAGAGGAAGTTACGGAGCAAGAAATGATATTTTAAGTTCAATCCTTGTAGCTACTCTTTTTTGGTCTTCTAACCTACTAGAATCCAAACCTGCTTAGCTCCCTGGTGAAACTGGGCTTGTCCAGGTAGAATGGTAGCCAGTGACCAAAAGTTCCCTTTAACTTAAGACTTAAGACTTTGCTAGAGTCATGGCCATTCATTACCCGACCCTGGTTCCTTAACTCCAAGTCTGAAAATCCCAAAACAAGGGAAGTTGTGCACAGTGAAGAGCCTGTGTGGCCACAGCTCAGCCCATGAGCAAATATTTATCAGCCTCATATCCAGAGACTGTTTCTTCAGTCAGAGAGTTTATCACTGATTGCTGACTCTCCATTGGTCCCTTCCAAAGTCTCTGTTCCCTCTGAGCTGGGAGACAAGATATAAAATGTCAGAAGTGGGGGGCTTTTGCTCCCACTCTTCGGTTCTGCCATTCTCTACGTCACATTTAACAGATAACACTATGCCTCCCTCCGCGGGGATGAGTTGGTTGAAGCTGTCCTGCGTATCTGGTAGACCCGAGGGCAGCCTGATTTCAGACCCCAGGCATTCCTTTTTCTCTTGATTGTTGTCTGTGCCCTGCGTGTAACTATACGAGGGAGCAAAGTAGCCAGGTGTAAGTTTTTAAATGCACATGATATCTAGTTGAATTTCAGATCAAAAAATTAGGGGTTTTAGTATAATAACTTTAATATAATGAACTACATTTTAGTGATAATGTACAAAAATATAGATGAGACCTACTCATAATGAAATGCATGTATATATAAATAAATATAGCATAAAATGTTAAAAATACATAATACTTTCACTTTATAATGTATATGAATATTCAATGTAATCAACAGTTTTATAATAAATACTTTTTTCAAATATTTGGTGTTTCTCTGAAATTCTTATTTGACCTCATGGTCCGTATTTTACTGGCAACCCTATCTCATCAGTATGATACATGCCTCTTGGAGTTAGGGGCATCTAAGGACAACTGTAGCCAAAAGTCTTAGCCTTTTAGGCTCTCTTGAGCCTAAAGTCTCCTTTGGTGAATTACTGAACCTTGGGAAAGAGGTGTGTGTGTGTGTGTGTGTGTGTGTGTGTGTGTGTGTAAACCCTCTGACTTTGTTCTCAAGTTATTCCATGTTGTTGACCTGGGACCACACGCTTGAAACTGATAAGGAAGCGTGGAGATCTGTGCAGACTGATGCTGACTCAAGGCAGTTAGTATTGGAAGTGTATAGAGCATATGGAACTATAGGACACCCAGTTGGTGATGGATTATCAGTTTTTATGGGGAAAAGATACATATTTTATGTCAAAAGTGTGGAAACTAAAAACAACTTGTTTGACCATGATTAATATACGAATTAACAGAAATGGGTTTTAATCAATAACCATTATTAAGTAACTCAAATTAAAGTAACTCGAGCTAGATAGATGGTTCAGTGGTTAAGAGAACTTCCTGTTCTTTTTTTTTTCTTAAAATATGCAGCTGTTTTCTTTCTTTTTTTATTAAGATTTTATTTATTACATATACAATACAGTGTTTTGCCTCCATGTATGCCTGCATGCCAGAAGAGGGCACCAGATTTCATTTTAGATGGTTGTGAGCCACCATGTGGTTGCTGGGAATTGAACTCAGGACCTCTGGAAGAACAGTCAGTGTCCTTAACCTCTGAGCCATCTCTCCAGCCCAGAACTTCCTGTTCTTGCAGAGGACAGAGATTCAGTCCCCAGCACCTAGCGGCTCACAACTGTCTGTAACTCCAGTTCCCAGAGATCCAGTGGCCTCTTTTGCTGCTTGGGGCTCCTGCATATACTCGGTGCAAACATATACGCTGGGGCACAAACACACGCACATAAAATAAGTCAATGTTTTTGAAAGATTGAAGTAGCCCTAGGTCATCTAAATATTAGAATGCAGGCGAGAGATGGAAATACATTCTGCCTGAGACTGTCATTATTGTCCAGCTCGATTAGTATCACAGAGCAGTTTCTTTCTATGGCTTCTCTGCAGTACTTAATTCTGTCTAAGGAACTCTTGGCTCTCAGGGGGCCTCAAATAATACCACATTTGACTTCTGCCTTAAAAGATAAAGTTTAATACTCACAAAGTGTTTTATAAACTCTTATAAAATATATTTAGAGAATTGACTCAGCAATTAACAGTTCTTGCTGCCTTTCCAGAGGACCCGAGTTTGGTTCCCAGCACTCATGTTAGGCACCCCAAAATCACCTGTACCTCCAATTCTGAGGGGGTCTTATTCTCTCTTCTGGCCTCTACAGGCACCCATACACATGGCATACACACATATACATGCATATATCCACATAAATAAAAATACAAATGAATATATATAAGTACATATAAATCTTATATGTATATATCTTATATATATGTATATATCTTACATAGAGAGAGAGAGCTACTAATATCACTTATTTAAAAAAGAAAAAAATCTCATTTTTTTCTTTATCTTAAAATTGAGAAGACAGGGTTGGAGAGATGACTCAATGGTTAAGAGCGTTGTTTGCTCTTCCAGAGGTTCTGAGTTCAATTCACAGCAGCCCCAAGGTGGCTCACAACCATTTACGATGGGATCCGATGCCTTCTTCTGGTGTGCAGATGTACATGAACACAGAGCATTCAAATACAGAAATAAATAAAATTGAGAAGCCATACTTTGCTCTGACAGGGAAAGACTTGTGAGTGATTGCCCTAAAACTGACAAAACCATGAGTTTTCAGAAACCATAAACAGCTTCTATCAGCGCATAATCAGCACACGTAATGTTCTACCAAATGTACGGCATGATTTTTTTTTTTTTACCATACTTCTAGAGTTTCGAAAAAAAACAATGTGATAAACGTGAGCACAAACTGCTTTTGTTCTCTAAGCCCCCAGAAAGCATTTCTGATACGGAGTTGGCATGACCACCAACGTTTCTAACCTTCTGGCAAAATGGGCTGTCTAGAAGGAACATCAAAAGCCTGTGTCTAAATAGTCAAAAAAGGTTTGCTACACAACTAGCCAGAAAATTATCCGGCAGAGTTTTCATTTCCAGATAAAGGTGGTGGAATAAAGTCTCTCTGTTTCCAAGGGCATGGACGACGAGCAGCTCATGGTCTCTGTTCTTTCAGCAGAAAAACCGACTCTGAAGTTGGCTTTCCTGAGAAAGTGGGAGACGCCAAGACCACGGAGCCTGCAAGGGGAAACCATGAAAAACTCCAAGTTAAAATCCAAGCTTTTGAAGACAAAATAAATGCAGAGGGCAATGCTCCTGGTTCTGTCCGGAGATACAGTTTAGGCCACGTCTCTAAGGAAGAACAAAGAAACATTAGATTTGGCAGGTATAACTTTCGTTCAGTCGTCATTTTGAAGTATGAACCCACATTAGATATTGCTTCTTTGCTCGTGGTGTTTGGGGGTATTTTATGTTTTATTTGGCTTTGTTGTTTAACCTACAGCTTCCCGAAGTTCTATCCTTTAATGAATTAAATATTACCCATAGTGCTCTCATTATTCAAGTAAGTGCAGTGGTTCTCAACCTTCCTAATGCTATAGCCCTTAAATACAGTTCCTCATGTTGTGGTGACTCCCCCACCATAAATTATTTTCATTGCTACTTCATAACTGTAATTTTGCTACTGTTATGAATCGTAATGTAAATATCTGCTGTGTGACCCCAAAGGGGCCAGGACCCACAGGCTGAGAACCACTGACTTAGGGACTATAAATAGAAGAAAGTAAATATGATCTTCTTTGTCAACACTTTTTGATGACAAGCGTGTTAATTTTGAGACTGACTGCCAGATGCACTTCTTACCCTAGTGATTAACCAGGGGCAAAAGCAAGAAAGAATAAAAACTTCTAGTCTACCATTTTGCAGCCAACTTTGCTATGAAATTGATTTATATCTTCTTTTGGAGGAACCTAGACAGTATCTTCTTTCTTCACTGTGGGGCTGATGATAAAACCCAGGGTCTTATTCACAGCACACATGTGCTATGGACTGAACTATAGCCCTGGCCCTGTGTTTTCAGAATGTTATTTGTCACATGGTTTGGTGGCCCTCGAGTTATCTGGTCTATTAAGAGGTCTCACTCTGGAGGAGGTAAAGTTTTGTTCTAGCATGTCTGTTTCTCCTCGCCAGGGAATGAGAGCTCCCTTAACTCTTCTACCCTTTCATTATAGGTCCAGGAGTTTGGCTTTGAATACCATGCTCACAAACAGCGTGAGAGCTGAAGATGGGGAAGCTGGAGAGAGGGCAGGAATACAAGCCAGCATCTCTCTTTCAGAGATTGACCCACTTAGCCTCGGAATGGGCAAGTTGCCCCTTAAGATAGACACCCACGGATCACAGCTGAGAAATTCCTCTGCTTCACGCCCAAGTATTGTGTATATAGAACCAGAGAATATGACTGAAACCGTTAGAGGAAACATCCAAAAAGACATTCCAGAGACCACCTCAAGTCCTGTGGAATACCAAGATAAGCTCTACTTGCATTTAAAGGAAAACCTCGGTAAAGTGAAGGCTTATGCCATGGAAATTACAAGGAAGGTGCCAGTCCCAGACCATTGCGACATTGAAGGTAAGTGCTTTGAAGTTCCCACACTCGCGAAATTTCAGATGTCAGAGACAAAATTCTCAAGGCGCCTAATATTCACACTCTTTTATGGACTTTTTTCAAAATAGATCATTTGAAAATATCTTCTAGTATCTTTTTTTACTTCCCCTTTAGGAAAGTTGGCCCATCTGTTGACTTTCGTCGTCTTGATTGTACTCAGATGCTTCTGTGTCTCCTGAGTTTTGCAAACTATTGTGTTGCTTGATTTCTCATTCCCAATTTATAAAAAGGGAAATGCAGTGACCTTGAAGCAGGCTCCAGGGTCAGGGCATCCAGAGAATGCTTCCAACCATGTAATCAAACAGTGAAGCCATGCCTCTCACTGACCGTAGGAGATTGTCCTCTTTCTTATTCCACTGCTCTGTGTCCTGCTCTGGCCCGAGATCTGAGGACAAACACAGTCCCGGATTTCCTAGAGAGCAGAGTATGGGAGGAACATAGCGAAGCCATGCCAGGAGGCGGTACATATGATAAGCCAGCAAAAGTGGGGGACACTGGGACAGCAAAGGGCAAAGTAAAGACAGATTATCAGAGGCTGGCTAGATCTACCATAGAAACACAGTTCCTGTCACTAGTGTCACCAAAGACACAGTCAAAGTCATGATGGGACCAGTCACAATGTGTAGGCGCACACTGTGTAGGATCCTTGGCCCAAAGAAATAATCACCGCATAATGAAGCTTTCTTTAATTATAATTTGGATATTTGGGTCATCACAGATTTTTGCGTTATTTTAATCTCTAAAATTTGACTTACACCAGTCAATAAATCTCCTGACACTCTTTACATTTTACGTCTTTACTCTGTCTCTGAGAAAAAAAAAAAAAAAAAGTTTGAGACACGAATGCAGCAGTATCAGAGCTCCGGGGCAGATCACAGACTGAGCTGGCCTGGATGCCACTGTGGGACTAGCGCTTTTGTTTTTCTCCGGCAGTCCTCAGACGGCAGACACCTTCTCCTAGGAGCTAGAGTGAGGTGTCAACATGTCATCTTCCCACAGGAAACAAGCCAGACAGCCCAGCCCCCTAACCATACAGCAGAAAGGTGGGGATCCCTCAAGGGCCCACTTCCCCGTACTCTACTTTCTCTCCTGTTTCCCATCTCCAATCAGAGGAAAGATTGTGTTCTGCTAAGTCAATTGGGGTTCAAATGTAACAAGGAGAACTAGTTGCTCCGTCTGTACAGAGGCTGACACTTTCCAAAGTCTGTAGGGATCTGAGCAGCCTTCCTAAATTAATTCTCTAGGAGCAAAAATGAAAACGGTGTTGCTTACATTCAAATATAGTCTATATGGTGACATACAGCAGGGTGTGGGGATGCCTAAGATTGGTGATGAACAATCTGTGCGACCTCTTCATCATTGCTGTTTTGCTGAGAATCTGTGAACACAGGTGACCAAGGTCAACGAAGGGAGGAAACGTGAGGTTCAAGGTGCCAAAAAGGGCATCCGTGTCAAAGAGAGTTAAACACATTTCACTTTATAGAATAATCAGTACGTGTGTGTGTGTTTCAAACTCAGCATAAATATAAAGAGTTTACTATATAATGAGCTCCAATGGTGTTGCAATGTGGAAGAAAACCTACAGAACTACTTCAAACATCCAGTTACAAAGAATTATCGCAGGAGTTAAAATTAGCTTTAGACTCAACTAAGTGATCTGGCCTTACTGTTTCCCAAATGTTGAATGAATCCATTATCAAAAAAAAAAAGAAAAAGAAAGAAAAGAAAAGAAAGAAAGGAAGAAAGAAAGAAAGGAAAGAAAGAAAGAAAGAAAGAAAGAAAGAAAGAAAGAAAGAAAAGGAAAAAACCATAATACTTTCTGATGGTAAAATTTCCAACCAGGGATAACCTAGAATTGAGTGTATATTTTTTTAAGTTGACATTTTGGAATGCATTCACATTTTAGCTATTGCCTGGGGAATTCCTATACAGGGACATGTGTAAGGGATAGAATATTTATATGACTCCCTGGTAATACATCCACAAATGAAGTACTTGATGAAGTACTTGGCCTGATTGCAGGAGACACAGTTTGTATCCCAAAGACCGACCTACACTAGCCAGTCAGTAGACAGCAGCCGTCCTCTGGCTGACTCAAGTTCCCTTGCTTCATAAGCCCGCCCAGCAAGGCAGTATCCCATTTCTTTCCTGAAGAACTTAGCGACGATTCAGGCCGAGAAATCACGTTATTGTCAAGTGTGTCGTTGGCCTAAAAGAAACATTTGGCCTTCTTGAATAAATTATACAAAATAATCAAGAGACAAAGAATAAAAGAAGCCAAAACAAACAAGAACTTTCTGCAGCGCTTAACTGAAGAGACAAGCAATGGGTAACAAGAACAGTTAACATTCCGGCATGCTATACAAAGCCCACCTTCAGAAATGAGGCAAAACAGCTCCTTCAGGAAATTCTGGACATTAGGTTGGTTCATGGGGGGGAAGGGAGGATGTTCAGCGTTTTTGAGCTAAAAAAACACCAGTTTTGGGGGGTTTAGCCTGATACTTCAATAATAGCAGTAAAAGCACTGCGAAACTGCTGACGTCAGTATGAGTTGACTCAGGAACACAAATAGCATTTTTAACCCTGACCTTGGTCACATTGGGGACCAACAGTAACAGGAAAGTGACTCTGTATAAATCTAACATCATCTCCAAGAGAAAAAAAAATGTGTCAAACCCCCAGTCCTACTGAGGTTGGATCGTTCTTGATATTGGGTGAGCCAGTTCTCTGATGAGCCTGGATGGCCTTGTTTCTGCTTACCGGCCACTGAAAGTTGTGGATCTGTAAACAAACGTGGCCTAATGTCAGTCGTGGGTTATATTTGTGTACAAGACCAGAAAACTGGGTTCATCTGGCAAAGGATGTTTTAAAAGTTTGAATCATTTGTACTCATTAATGTGGGAAAAATAATCAGAGGCCAAAAGCATATACACAGATAATACTTAATAAATCTTTGAAAATCTGGTCCATCTTTGCAAAGAACGTGTGAGCTTGTAAGAGCCCATCAGTGCTACTTTGGCTTACTTTGAAGTGTTTCTTAATGGGATTAAAAATAAGCCTGACTTGCAGAAAGCTTGTTTTTAATCTTCGAGACGGTCCTTCCTCCAATCCATCCACATTAGCAGATTTTTCCTTCACAGTTAAAAAAAAAAAAAGAAAGAAAAAGAAAAAAATCAAGAAATAGCTGGGCATCGTGGCGCATGCCTTTAATCCCAGCACTCGGGAGGCAGAGGCAGGCGGCTCTGTGAGTTCAAGGTCAGCCTGGTCTACAGAGTGAGTTCCAGGACAGCCAGGACCATTACATAGAGAAACCCTGTCTTGAAAAAAAAAATAAAAACCAAAGAAAGAAATATTTGTGTGCTTGATTACAAATAAAGCCTCCTAACTTAACACTTTTCCCGTGTCCCTGTGACTCCACTGCTGCTTTAGTTTCTTCCCCAGTCTTCCCCTTTCTACAGAATTCATTTTATTGTGCTGAAAGTCCCACGATCTACTTCTTTCTCCCACTTGTTCCTCGGTTATGTATTCATTCATCCATATTCTGAGTGCCTGCTACATGACAGCACCATTCTAAGTACCTGAAAAGCTTCAGCGCAATAATCTTGACTTCGTTAAGACTGTGCTACTTGGAAAAGACATGAAATAAACAATAAAAATGAGAAATAAGTTGTCCTGGCTGGTTTGTGTCAACTTGTCAGGAGCTAGAGTTACTGAAAGAAGGGAACCTCGGTGGAGAAAACGCCTCCATGAGATCCAGCGGTAAAGCATTTCCTTAATTAGTGATTGATGGGGATGCAGCCCATTGTGATTGGTGCCCCTGGGTTGGTCCTGGGTTCTGTAAGGAAGCAAGCTGAGCAAGCCAGAGGGAGCAAACCAGTAAGCAGCTCCTCTCCGTGGTGTTTGTGTCAGCTCCTGCTCCAGATTCCTGGCCCAGTTTGAGCTCTTACGCTGACTTACTTCAGTGATGAACAGCAATACAGAAATGTAAGTCAAATAAACCCTTTCTTCCCCAAGTTGCTTTGGGTCATGGTGTTACATCGCAGCAATAGAAACCTTGGCTGGGACATAAGCGCAGTAGGGAAGATGTTAGGACATAGCAAGTGCTCTGATGAGAGAAGAAAGAGAAGACAAACCCAAACAAAGGGGTCGGTCCTTGTATGTCTAGAGTTGCACAAAGAGATGGAAAGGTTGCAGGGAGAGATGGGAAAGCTGCCTGCAGCTCTAAGAAGGACACATCAAAACGCGGCCATCGTTTTTCTGTGAAGAATCAGGTTTCAGTGCCAGTTGAAGAGGAAAGGAGAGGGACAGAGAAACTTGAACACTATACCTTTCTTCAAGGTTTGGATTCTTTGGGAACTTGCTATGTAGACCAGGCAGATCTCCAACTCACAGTGATACACCTGCCTCTGCCTCTGCCTCCTGAGTGCTGGGGTTAATGGTGTGTGACACCATGCCTGGCCCAAGGTACGGAATATTTATTTATTTGTCTGTCTGTTTGTTTGTTTGTTTGTTTTAATCCTCAAAGCTGTTTTCCCTCCCTCCCTTACTCCCATTTCCTCCCCCACATTCCCTCTGCATGCCCCAATCCACTCCTTCTCTGCCTCTGTTCAGAAAGAGGCAGGCTTTCCATGGATGTCAACAAACCATGGCACATCGAGTTGCAGTAAGACTAAGCACATCCCCTTCAAGCAGTAATACTTGTTTTCTCCATCTGTGGTCATTGACAGTTTAGTTGGGTATAGTAGTCTGGGCTGGTACCCATGGTCTCTTAGAGTCTGCAGCCCTTCTGGCTTTTAGAGTCTCCACTGAGAATTCAGGTCTTACTCTACCAGGTCTGCTTTTCTATGTTACTTGGCCTTTTTCCCTTGCAGCTTTTAATATTCTTTTTGGTGCTGTTGTTGTTCTGCATGTTTAGTGTTTTGATTATCATATGGCAGAAGGACTTTCTTTTTTTATCCAATCTA